GGGTTGCGGGACCACGTGGACACCGTGGTGATCCGATACCGGCTCGTGGGGGGGCCCGAGGGCGCCGGGGGGGAGCTGCAGGTGCCGGGGGACGTGGCGTTCGCCCGCATCCCGGGGTTGGTCCCCGGGGCCACGTATCACGTGGAGGTCCATGGCGTGGTGCAAGGACAGACCTCCAAGTCCTACTCCACCCAGGTGACCACAGGTGGGTGACGGCGATGGGGAAGGGGACGTCATCTTGTCCGGGACGTCCCCCTCTCCCCACCTTGACCTTCCCATCCTCTTGTAGGGTCAGATGATGGCAGGGAACCTCCTCCAGACGAGGGCCACCAATATGAGATGGAGGTGCCAGAGGGGACTGAGCCCCATAGCACCGTGGCCGAAGCAGGTACCAGGCTGTCCCCAACGTGGTGGGGGACCCTCTTGGTGGGTGGATGGATGGAGACATGGGACATGGAAAAAGGGATCATAGAAAGCATTGGAGAAGAGGTAGGTGGGTGGGTGGGTGGATGGATGGATGGATAGATTTATGAGTGGGTAGGTGAGTGGGTGGATGGATGGATGGATGGATGGATGGATGGATGGATGGATGGATGGATGGATGGATTTATGGGTGGGTGGGTGGGTGGGGGGGTGGATGGGGGGACGGACGGATGGATGGATGGATGGATGGATGGATGGATGAGTGGGTAGGTGAGTGGGTGGATGGATGGATGGATGGATGGATGGATGGATGGATGGATGGATGGTTGGATGAGTGGGTAGGTGAGTGGATGGGTGGGTGGGTGGATGGAGAGATGAGAGGATTTAGGTGCCCTTCCCTGTCCTCCCTCTGTTAGGGATGGAAGAGGGAGTATGAAAGGCTGGAGAAGGGGGAAGATACTTGAGGGAAGTGATGGCTGGAGAGAGGAACAGAGGTCTAAGCACTGCACTGTGTCCTCTCAGTTGCAGCCCCTGCTCCATCACAAGAGGAACCTCCATCCCAGCCTGACCTGGGTGACCTCACAGTCTCCCACGTCACCCCCAACTCCATCCAACTTGACTGGACTGTTCCCGAGGGCACCTTTGACTCCTTCACGGTGCAGTACAAGGATGCCCAAGGGCAGCCTCAGGTGGTGCCTGTGGATGGCGAGTCCCGCACTGTGACCGTGTCCGACCTGATGCCCTCCCGACGCTACAAGTTCAACCTGTATGGGCTGTGGGGACGGAAGCGTCTAGGTCCCATCTCTACTGATGCTGTCACAGGTGAGGGTGGCTGTTGTTATCGTGGCTGTCCCATCCATGGTTTTGGAGTGGGTCAAGACAGGGCCCAACATGCCCACCATTGTGTCCTCTGTGTTTCAGCCCCAGCACCACCAGTAGAAGAAGAACCTCCATCCCGTCCCCGCTTGGGTGACCTCACGGCCTCCAATGTCACACCGACCTCCATCCAACTCGACTGGACCGTCCTCGAGGGCTCCTTCGACTCCTTCACGGTGCAGTACAAGGACGCTCAAGGCCAACCCCAAGCCATGGCTGTCGATGGCGGGTCCCGCACGGTGACCGTGCCCAACCTGGTGCCCTCCCGTCGCTACAAGTTCAATCTCTACGGGGTGTGGGGGCGGAAACGTATCGGTCTGATCTCTACTGAAGCTGTCACAGGTGGGGACAGTTGCCAACAGTGTCCCAGTCCTCAGTGGTCCCTTTTTTTGACGTGGGTCAGGGCTTATCTTCATTCCCTTGGGCTTCCTGGGAGATGGGAACCACTCTTGGTCATTGAATTGGTGTTGGCCATTGGTGAAAGGTTGAAGGGAAGAAGGATGAGGGGTAACGTGAGAAGCTGGATGGAAGGAAAGTTGCTGCATGGGATTGGAGGCGAAAGGCGAAGTGGATGGATGAATGGATAGATGTTTAGATCCTTGAAAAGACATCTGGGTGGGAAGATATTTGGACAGATGGGTGGAAGTCTGGATGATGGGATGAATTATTGGTTGGATAGAGGGGTGTGTGGATGGTTGGAAGCTGGATTCCCATGTCTGTGGCTGAATGGACAGAAGATTTGCCTGGAAAGATGGGTTAATGGGTAGAAGGAAGACTGCCTAGATGGACAAATGGATGGATGGGTGGATGGATGTCCATACCCAAACGAATCTGCTCTCTCCATTGCAGCCCCATCACCACCACGGGAGGAACCTTCATCAAGGCCTGAACTGGGTGACCTCACAGCCTCCCACGTCACTCCAACATCCATCCAACTCGAATGGACGGTCCCCAAGGGCACCTTTGACTCCTTCACGATGCAGTACAAGGATGCACAAGGGCAGCCCCAGGTGGTGCCTGTGGACGGCGAGTCCCGCACGGTGACCGTGCCCGACCTGGTGCCCTCCCGACGCTACAAATTCAATCTCTATGGGGTGTGGGGGCGGAAGCGTCTGGGTCCCATCTCTACTGATGCTGTCACAGGTGAGGGTGGCTGTTGGCACTGACTCGGTCCCTCCTAGGAGCTGAGTTTGCATCAGGGCAGTAGTTTGGCCAGGGAGAAGATCTTGGGTGGTGAGTGGAGATGGATGGATGGATGGATGGGGGCCTGGTTGGATGTGTTGGTGACGGATGGCTTAGATAAATGGATGAATTGATGGAGAGATACAATGTGGATGGATGTCTCTCTGTCCCCAATGTTCCCTGCACTGTCCCCTCTCCATTGCAGCCCCAGCCCCACCAGAGGAGGAGGAGGAGGAGGAGGAACCACCATCCCCGCCCCAGCTGGGCGACCTCACGGCCTCCCACATCACCCCCAACTCCATCCAACTTGACTGGACCGTCCCCGAGGGCACCTTTGACTCCTTCACGGTGCAGTACAAGGATGCTGAAGGGCAGCCCCAGGTGATACCTGTGGATGGCGAGTCCCGCACGGTGACTGTGCCCGACCTGGTGCCCTCCCGACGCTACAAGTTCAACCTTTACGGGATGTGGGGACGGAAGCGTCTGGGTCCCATCTCTACTGACGCTGTCACAGGTGAGAGTGGCCAAGGGCATCATCCCTGTCGCCTCTTAACTCTGATTTTGGAGTCTATTTGGACCTTTGGGGAAATGGGTTCAGGTCTTGGATGTCCAGTGAGGATGAGCATGGGAGCATGGCTGGAAGGACAAATGGGACAGTAGGGAATGAAGATTGGGTAGTTGGCTGGATGGTTGTGATGTCATCCTCTTGGACTATTGATGGAAAAATAGGTGGATATCCGGGTGGATGGGTGGATGAGTTGCTTGTTTGTTGAACGCTTGGGTGGATTTTTGGATGAAAGAATGGATTTTGGAAAAGATGGTTGGGTGGGTGGATATATGGAAGCAGGGAAGACCAGGATGGTTAAATGAGTGGAAATGGATTATGGGATTTGTGGATCCCTGCGATGGAGGGATGGAAAAAGTGTCCTTAAAGATGAAAGATGGGCTCGATGGAGCAATGGATGGAGTGGCGGATGGATGGATATTCTGGGAAAATGAAGATGGAGGGGGAGTTGTCTGAATGTGTGGTCACATGGATGGATGGTTGGGTGAGTAAGTGATGGAAAGAGGGATCTCTATCAACACTGTCCTCTGCGTTATGACCTTCCCTTGGCAGCCCCGGCCATGGAGAAGGAGAAGCCGCCATCCCAGCCCCTCCTCGATGAACTCACAGTCTCTCACGTCACCCCAACCTCCGTCCAGCTTGACTGGACTGTGCCCGAGGGCACCTTTGACTCCTTCATGGTGCAGTACAAGGACACACAAGGGCAGTCCCAAGTGCTTGTTGTTGACAGTGGGTCCCGCACGATGACTGTGTCCCACCTGGAGCCATCCCATCACTACAAGTTCAACCTGTACGGGATATGGGGACGGAAGCGTCTAGGTCCCATCTCCACTGATGCCATCACAGGTGAGTGCCGCTGTTGGCATCATCCTTGTTCCCTTTGAGCCCTGTGTCAAGAGTGGTCAGAAGGTTGGACAGGAACCCTGACAAACCCCTTGGAGCGTCTGGAGGATGGGTGCAGGTCTTGGATGCTGAAGTGGGAATAGCTGGATGGCTGGGAGCACATCAGAGTGGAGGGGAGATGGATGAACCAATATGTAGACAGATTGGATGGATGGATGGATGAATGGATGGATGGATGGATGAATGGATCGGGAGATGGATGGATGAAAGATGTGGACGGGGGATGGCTAGATGGGCAGATCGATAGATGGAGGATGATGGATATATTGGTGGATTTTTATCGCCACTGGGCCCTCTCTGTAGCTTCCCCAGAACCACCTAAGGAGGAACCTCCATCCCGGCCCCAAATGGGCGACCTCACAGCCTCCCACATCACCTCCAATTCCATCCAACTTGACTGGACCGTTCCCGAGGGCACCTTTGACTCCTTCACGGTGCAGTACAAGGATGCCCAAGGGCAGCCCCAGGTGGTGCCTGTGGACGGCGAGTCCCGCACAGTGACCGTGTCCGACCTGGTGCCCTCCCGACGCTACAAGTTCAACCTGTACGGGTTGTGGGGACGGAAACGCCTGGGCCCCATCTCTACTGATGCCGTCACAGGTGAGGGTGACTGCTGACGTTTTCCCTGTCCCCATTGCAATTTGATTAGGAGTAGGAGAGGAATGTGGTCATGACCCATCTTGGTCTGTTTGGGTCATCTGGGAAATGGGAAGATATCTTGAGTACTGAACTATGTGGAGTGGATGGACAGGTTCATGCAGGGATGGAGAGAAGGATGGATGAGGGATAGATGGATAGATGGAGAAACAGGAGGAATGGGAGGGTGAATGGTGGGGCCATCTCCATTGATGGAGAGATGCTGTATGGGTGGGTGGCTCTCTATCCTCAATGTTCCCTGCACTGTCCCCTCTCCATTGCAGCCCCAGCCCCACCAGAGGAGGAAGAGGAGGAGGAGGAGGAGGAACCACCATCCCCACCCCAACTGGGTGACCTCACGGCCTCCCATGTCACCCCGAACTCCATCCAACTTGACTGGACTGTCCCCGAGGGCACCTTTGACTCCTTCACGGTGCAGTACAAGGATGCCCAAGGGCAGCCTCAGGTGTTGCCTGTGGATGGCGAGTCCCGCACTGTGACTGTGCCCAACCTGGTGCCCTCCCGACGCTACAAGTTCAACCTGTACGGGTTGTGGGGACGGAAACGCTTGGGCCCCATCTCTACTGATGCTGTCACAGGTGAGGGTGGCTGCTGACATTTTCCCTGTCCCCATTGCAATTTGGTTATTAGTAGGAGAGGAATGTGGTCATGACCCATCTTGGTCTGTTTGGGTCATCTGGGAAATGGGAATATATCTTGAGTACTGAACTGTGTGGAATGGAGGGATGAAGAGAAGGATGGATGAGGGATGGATGTGTGGATGGAGAAACAGGAGGAATGGGAGGGTGAATGGTGGGGCCATCTCCATTGATGGAGAGATGCTATATGGGTGGGTGGCTCTCTGTCCTCAATGTTCCCTGCATTGTCCCCTCTCTATAGCAGCCCCAGCCCCACCAGAGGAGGAGGAAGAGGAAGAGGAGAAAACTCCATCCCCACCCCAACTGGGCGACCTCACGGCCTCCCATGTCACCTCCAACTCCATCCAACTTGACTGGACCGTTCCCGAGGGCACCTTTGACTCCTTCATGGTGCAGTACAAGGATGCCCAAGGGCAGCCTCAGGTGGTGCCCGTGGACGGGGAGTCCCACACTGTGACCGTGTCCGACCTGATGCCCTCCCGACGCTACAAGTTCAACCTGTACGGAATGTGGAAGAGGAAACGCCTGGGTCCTATCTCTACTGATGCCATCACAGGTGAGGGTGGCTGCCACCATTGACCCTGTCACCATTGAAGAGTTGGTTTGGAATAGGAGACGAGTGTGGCCATGATCCATCCTGATCCGTTTGGGTCATCTGGGAAATGGGACCAAGTCTTGGGTGCTGAATTGGGTGAGATGGAAGGATGGATGAATGCAAGGATGGAGAAAAGGACGAGTGAATTGATGCAGCGATGGATGGATGGATGGATGGATGGATGGATGGATGGATGGATGAATGAATGGATGAATCAAAGGTGAGTGGACAGACAAAGAGGAGGAGTAAGGGGAGGATGGATGTTGGGCACAGATGATCCTTCTGCACTGTGATTTGTCCATGACAGCCGCAGCACCACGTGAGGTGGTGGAACCGCCCTCCCAGCCACAACTGGGCGAGCTCACGGCCTCCCACGTCACCCCCAACTCCATCCAACTTGACTGGACCGTCCCCGAGGGCACCTTTGACTCCTTCACGGTGCAGTACAAGGATGCCCAAGGGCAGCCTCAGGTGGTACCCACGGATGGCGAGTCCCGCGCAGTGACTGTGCCCGACCTGATGCCCTCCCGACGCTACAAATTCAATCTCTATGGGGTGTGGGGGCGGAAGCGTCTGGGGCCCCTCTCTACTGATGCTGTCACACGTCTGATGCCATCACAGGTGAGAGTCGCTGCTAGGGTTGATCCTGCCACCCTTTGACAGTTGTTTTGGAGTGGGAGAGGAGTGTGGCCATGACCCATCCTGGTCCATTTGGGTCAGCTCAGAAGTGGGAGCAAATCTTGGGTGCTGAATTGGGCAAGATGGAGGATGGGTGCATGTGAGGGTGGAGAACAGGATGAGCTGACTAAGGGATGGATGGATGGATGGATGGATGGATGGATGGATGGATGGATGATGATCGGAAGGGTGGATAAGCAGGCAAAGGAATGGGAGGATGGATGTGCCAGGTGGTACCCGTGGATGGCGAGTCCCACACAGTGACCGTGCCCAACCTGGTGCCATCCCGACGCTACAAGTTCAACCTGTACGGGCTGTGGGGACGGAAACGCTTGGGCCCCATCTCCACTGATGCCGTCACAGGTGAGGGTGGCTGCTAGTGTTGATCCTGCTCCCCCCGACAGTTGGTTTGGAGTAGCAGAGGAATGTGGCCATGACCCATCCTGGTCCATTTGGGTCAACTGGGAAGTGGAAGCCGGTCTTGGGTGCTGAATTGGGCGAGATGGAGGATGGGTGCATGTGAGGGTGGAGAACAGGATGAGCTGACTAAGGGGTGGATGGATGGATGGATGGATAGATGGATGGATGGATGATGATCGGAAGGGTGGATAAGCAGGCAAAGGAATGGGAGGATGGATGTGGAGGCAGATGATTCTTCTGCACTGTGCCTTCTTCATTGCAGCCCCAGCCCCACCAGAGGAGGAGGAGGAAACTCCATCCCCTCCCCAAATGGGCATCCTCACAGCCTCCCACATCACCCCCAACTCCATCCAACTTGAATGGACGGTCCCCGAGGGCACCTTTGACTCCTTCACGGTGCAGTACAAGGACGCCCAAGGGCAGCCCCAGGTGATGCCTGTGGATGGTGAGTCCCGCATGGTGACTGTGCCCGACCTGGTGCCCTCCCGACGCTACAAGTTCAACCTGTATGGGATGTGGAAGAGGAAACGCTTGGGTCCCATCTCCACTGACGCTGTCACAGGTGAGGGTGGCTGCAAACATTGACCCCCATCACTACTCAACAGTTGTTTTGGAATAGGAGAGGATTGTGGCCATGACCAATCTTGGTCTGTTTGGGTCATCTTGGAAATGGGAACATGTCCTGGGTGCTGAATTGGGTGAGATGGAGGGATGGATGAATGCAAAGATGGAGAGATGGATGAGTGGATGGATGTAGGGATGGATGGATGGAAGGTGGGTGAATGGACAAAGAGGAGGAGTAAGGGGAGGATGGATGTTGGGCACAGATGATCCTTCTGCACTGTGACTTGTCCATGACAGCCCCAGCACCGCGTGAGGAGGTGGAACCGCCATCCCGACCCCAATTGGGCGACCTCACGACCTCCCACATCACCCCCAACTCCATCAAGCTTGAATGGACGGTCCCCGAGGGCACCTTTGACTCCTTCACGGTGCAGTACAAGGATGCCCAAGGGCAGCCCCAGGTGATGCCTGTGGATGGTGAGTCCCGCACGGTGACCGTGCCCAACCTGATGCCCTCCCGACGCTACAAGTTCAACCTGTACGGGGTGTGGAAGAGGAAACGCCTGGGTCCCATCTCCACTGACGCTGTCACAGGTGAGGGTGGCTGCAAACATTGACCCCGTCACTACTGAACAGTTGATATGGAATAGGCGATGAGTGTGGCCATGACCCATCCTGGTCCGTTTGGGTCATCTTGGAAATGGGAACATGTCCTGGGTGCTGAATTGGGTGAGATGGGGGGGTGGATGAATGCAAGGATGGAGAGAAGGCTGAGTGGATGGATGTAGGGATGGAGGGATGGAGGGTGGGTGGATGGACAAAGAGGAGGAGTAAGGGGGGGATGGATGTTGGGCACAGATGATCCTTCTGCACTGTGACTTGTCCATGACAGCCCCAGCACCGCGTGAGGAGGTGGAACCGCCATCCCGACCCCAACTGGGCGACCTCACGACCTCCCACATCACCCCCAACTCCATCCAGCTTGACTGGACTGTCCCCGAGGGCACCTTTGACTCCTTCACGGTGCAGTACAAGGATGCCCAAGGGCAACCCCAGGTGGTTCCCGTGAATGGCCAGTCTCGCACCGTGACCGTGCCCGACCTTGTGCCCTCTCGACGCTACAAGTTCAACCTGTACGGGATGTGGAAGAGGAAACGCTTGGGTCCCATCTCCACTGATGCCATCACAGGTGAGAGTCGCTGCTAGGGTTGATCCTGCCACCCTTTGACAGTTGTTTTGGAGTGGGAGAGGAGTGTGGCCATGACCCATCCTGGTCCATTTGGGTCAGCTCAGAAGTGGGAGCAAATCTTGGGTGCTGAATTGGGCAAGATGGAGGATGGGTGCATGTGAGGGTGGAGAACAGGATGAGTTGACTGATTAAGGGATGGAGGGATGGACGCATGGATGGATGATGATTGGAAGGGTGGATAAGCAGGCAAAGGAATGGGAGGATGGATGTGGAGGCAGATGATTCTTCTGCACTGTGCCTTCTCCACTGCAGCCCCAGCCCCACCAGAGGAGGAGGAGGAAACTCCATCCCCTCCCCAAATGGGCATCCTCACAGCCTCCCACATCACCCCCAACTCCATCCAACTTGAATGGACGGTCCCCGAGGGCACCTTTGACTCCTTCACGGTGCAGTACAAGGATGCCCAAGGGCAGCCCCAGGTGGTGCCTGTGGATGGCGAGTCCCGCACGGTGACCGTTTCCGACCTGATGCCCTCCCGACGCTACAAGTTCAACTTGTACGGGCTGTGGGGACGGAAACGCTTGGGTCCCATCTCTACTGATGCTGTCACAGGTGAAGACACATGGGGACACCACCTCGGTCCCTTCTGGTCACTGAGTTTGCATCAGGGCAGTACCTTGGCCAAGCAGAACGTCTTGGGTGATGACTGAAGATGGATAAGGGATGGATGGATGAATGGATGGATAAGGGATGGATGGATGGATGGATAAGGGATGGATGGATGGAGGGAAGGACAGATGCATGCATGCATGTGGACCTGATTAGATGTCCTAATGATGGATGAGATGCATGCATGCATGTGGACCTGATTAGATGTCCTAATGATGGATGAGTTGGATTGATAAATAGATGAATGCTTGGAGATAAGTATGATGGGTGTGTGGCTCTCTGTCCCTAACATGTCCTGCACTGTCCCCTCTCCTTTACAGCCCCAGCCCCACAAGAGGAGGAGGAGGAGGAACCTCCACCCCAACCCCAACTGGGCGACCTCACAGCCTCCCACGTCACCCCCAACTCCATCCAGCTTGACTGGACTGTCCCCGAGGGCACCTTTGATTCCTTCATGGTGCAGTACAAGGATGCCCAAGGGCAGCCCCAGGTGGTGCCCGTGGATGGCGAATCCCGCATGGTGACCGTGTCCGATCTGATGCCCTCCCGACGCTACAAGTTCAATCTCTATGGGGTGTGGGGGCGGAAGCGTCTGGGCCCCATCTCTACTGATGCCATCACAGGTGAGGGCGGCTGTTGGCACCAACTCAGTCCCTCCTGGGAGCTGAGTTTACATCAGGGCAGGAGTTTGGCCAGGGAGAAGGTCTTGGGTGATGAGTTAGGACGGATGCATGGATGCATGGAAGGATAGATGGATGGGTAGATGGATGTGGGCCCAGTGGGATGTCGTGGTTAATGGATATAATAATAGATGACTTGGATGGGTAAATGGATGGATTGATGGAGAGATGCAATATGAATGGATGGGCATCTGTCCCAAGCATGCCCTGCACTGTCCCCTCTCCATTGCAGCCCCAGCCCCACCAGAGGAGGAGGAGGAACCTCCGTCTCAGCCCCAACTCGGTGACCTTACAGCCTCTGACATCACACCAAGCTCCGTCCAGCTCCAATGGACCGTCCCTGAGGGCACCTTTGACTCCTTCACGGGGCAGTACAAGGACGCCCAAGGGCAGCCCCAGGTGGTACCCGTGGATGGCGAGTCCCGCGCAGTGACCGTGCCCGACCTGGTGCCCTCCCGACGCTACAAGTTCAATCTCTATGGGGTATGGGGACGGAAACGCTTGGGTCCCATCTCCACTGATGCCGTCACAGGTGAGGGTGGCTGAAAGTGCCATCCCTGTCTCTTCTGAGCCCTGGGCCTGAGCTACTCCCGTGGGTTTGCAGCAGGGACGGGGTTTGGTAAAGGGGAAGGTCTTGGGTTCTGGGTTAGGGATGGATGAAGGGATGGGTGGAGGGAGGGATGTGAAGATGGGTGTCCCCAGTCCCCAGTGCACCCTGTACTGTCCCCTCTCCATTGCAGCCCCAGTTCCATCAGAGGAAGAACCTCCATCCCCGCCCCACCTGGGTGAGCTCACGGCCTCCCACATCACCCCCAACTCCATCCAACTTGACTGGACTGTCCCCGAGGGCACCTTTGACTCCTTCACGGTGCAGTACAAGGACGCCCAAGGGCAGCCTCAGGTGGTGCCCGTGGATGGCGAATCCCGCACGGTGACTGTGCCCAACCTGGGCGCGGTGCCTGTCCCCACCCTGGTCCCCCCCCGACGCTACAAGTTCAACCTGTATGGGTTATGGGGACGGAAACGCTTGGGCCCCATCTCCACTGATGCTGTCACAGGTGAGGGTGGCTGCTGATGTTTTCCCTGTCCCCATTGGAATTTGTTTAGGAGTAGGAGAGGAATGTGGTCATGACCCATCTTGGTCTGTTTGACCACACAGTCTTGAGTAGTCTTGAGTCTCTGATCCACACAGTCTTGAGTACTGAACTGTGTGGATCAGAGGGATGGGTTCATGCAGGGATGGAGAGAAGAATGGATGAGGGATGGATGGGTGGAGAAACAGGAGGAATGGGAGGGTGAATGGTGGGGCCATCTCCTTTGATGGAGGGATGCTTATATGGGTGCGTACCCCTCTGTCCCCAAAGTGTCCTGCACTGTCCCCTCTCCATTGCAGCCTCAGCCACATCAGAGGAGGAGGAGGAGGAACCACCATCCCCACCCCAACTGGGTGACCTCACAGCTTCCCACGTCACCCCCAACTCCATCCAACTTGACTGGACCGTTCCCGAGGGCACCTTTGACTCTTTCACGGTGCAGTACAAGGACGCTCAAGGGCAACCCCAGGTGGTGCCTGTAGATGGCGAGTCCCGCACCGTGACCGTGCCTAACCTGATGCCCTCCCGACGCTACAAGTTCAACCTGTACGGGTTGTGGGGACGGAAACGCTTGGGTCCCATCTCCACTGATGCTGTCACAGGTCAGATTAGCTGTGGGTATCATTCCTGTGTGTTCTGGGCACTGGCTTTGCCACAGGGCAGTAGCTTGACCAGGGAGAAGGTCTTGGGCAATGATTGAGGCTGGATGAAGGGATGGGAGAACGTTTGGATGGATGGATATGGGCCTGGTTGTCCTCATGATGGATAACTTTGATGGATGAATGCATGGATTGATGGAGAGATGCAATATGGGTGGATGGGTGTCTGTCCTCAGTGTTTCCTGCACTGTCCTCTTTCCATTCCAGCCCCACCAGATGAACCTCCATCACGGCCCCGCCTAGGCGAACTCATGGCCTCCGACATCACTCCAACCTCCATCCAGCTCCAGTGGACTGTCCCCGAGGGCACCTTTGACTCCTTCACGGTGCAGTACAAGGATGCCCAAGGGCAGCCTCAGGTGTTGCCCGTGGACGGCGAGTCCCGCACGGCGACCGTGCCCAACCTGGTACCCTCCCGACGCTACAAGTTCAACCTCTATGGGATGTGGAAGAGGAAACGTCTGGGCCCCATCTCCACTGATGCCATCACAGGTGAGCAGAACGTGCGGGTACCTACTTGATCCTGTTTGGTCACTGGGTTTGCATTGGGGCAGGAGTTTGGCCAAGAGGAAGGTGTTGGGGATGGTTGATTGAATTGATGGAGGGATGGATGGATAGATAGATGGAGAGATGCAATATGGTTGGACGGATGTCCATCCCCAGTGTGCCTTGTACTGTCTCCTCTCCGTTGCAGCCCCAGCCCCACAAGAGGAGGAGGAGGAGGAACCTCCATCCCGGCCCCACCTGGGTGACCTCACGGCCTCTCACATCACCCCCAACTCCATCCAACTTAACTGGACTGTCCCCAAGGGCACCTTTGACTCCTTCATGGTGCAGTATGAGGATGAACAAGGGCAACCCCACGAGCTGCCTGTGGATAGAGAGTCCCGCACGGTGACCGTGCCCGACCTGGTGCCCTCCCACCTCTACAAGTTCAACGTGTACGGGACGTGGCAGCAGAAATATGTTGGTCTTATCTCCACTGAGGCCATCACAGGTAAAATGTGCTACACCATCTATCTCTGTCCCCTCTGTGCTCTGGATTTGAAGTTGGACAACCCTGGACAGTGTCCATCCCGGTCTCCTTCAGTTTGCTCTGAATAATGCAGCTTCAGGTGGCTGGTTGGCCAAAATGGTGGTAGGAAAGATGTTTGGTTGGATGGAGGAAGGGTGGGATGAAGGGCTGGACAAATAGACATGTGGATTAATGTGCAGATGGATTCGTGGGCATAGAAGATGGAAAATCCGGTGGGAAAATACAGATGAGTGAATGTGCAGAGATGCATTGATGGATGGGCCAATGGCTGGATGTCTGTCCTCCATAGTGACTTGTGTTGTGTCCTCTCCATTGCAGCCCCGGCCCCACCAGAGGAGGAACCTCCATCCCCATCCCAACTGGGCGAGCTCACGGTCTCCGATGTCACCTCGGACTCTGTCCAGCTGGAATGGACCGTCCCTGAGGGCACCTTTGACTCCTTCGTGGTTCAGTATAGGGACGCGCAGGATGAACCTCAGGTGGTGCCTGTGGACGGCGAGTCCAACACAGTGACCGTGTCTGGTCTGGTGCCCTCCCACTACTACAAGTTCAACCTCTATGGGGTGTGGAGGCAGAAACGCCTGGGCCCCGTCTCCACTAATGTTGTCACAGGTGAGAGCGACTGTGGGCATCATCCCTGTCCCCTCTGGGCCTCTGTTTTGTGGTCAGGACCCAGGCAGTGTCCATCCATGCCCCCTTGTACCGTGTGGGAAGCAGGAACATCTCTTGACCTCTCTACTGGTCTTGGTCATGGGTGCCTGCAAGGCTGGAGGGAGGACTAGATGGGTGGATGGCGGTATCAAAGCTTGGATGGGTTAGTGCCCCATGTTGGATGGCTTGGTGGGAGGTGGGAAGACACCTGGATCAAAAGCTGGAGGGCAGGATGGCTGGTTGATCCACTGGCTGGATGGATTTGGGGATAGATGGTTGGATAGATGGTTGAATGGGCAGCAGCTGGACACAAGCATGGATGGTTGTGTGGACAATTGAATGCATAAATGTTGTTATGGATGGGCGGATGCCTGGATTCGTAGATCTCTGGCTTGATGAATGGATGGACGTGCTTGGAAAGGTAGGTGATGGGATGGAAGGAAGGCTGGCATGGACAAATGGATGGATGGATAGATGGATGAACGGATGGATGGATGGACGAATGGATGGACGGATGGATGAATGGATGGATGGATAGATGGATGAACAGATGGATGGATGGACGGATGGATG